TCTTTCTTTCTTTCTTTCTTTCTTTCTTTCTTTCTTTCTTTCTTTCTTTCTTTCTTTCTTTCTTTCTTTCTTTCTTTCTTTCTTTTTTTTCTTCTTCAAAAACATTGAGCTATTATTATCTATAGAATTAAAGGGCATACCCTTATCATACTAGCTGGTGAGGTTTCTAAGATTGGATGTTAGAATCATGAATATTCCTCTGGAACACAGAGGCCATCTGGAGAGGCCCGGAAACAAATGAGACTGTTCTCTGTTTCTACCTTGTGTGTCGTGATGTGCGGGCTGTGTTAGGACTAGCATTTCAGAGATGAGTACCAGGAAGTTACTGCTGAGAAGACGGAGGGCTGGCTTCCGAGCTCTGGGGCAGCAGCCACGGCAAGTCCTGTCCCTTCCTTTCCTTCCTCTGTCTCCTTTCTTTCCCTCTTCCTCTCTCCTTTTTCCTTATTTTCTTTCTCCCCTCTTTCTTGTTTTTACTTTGTCTCTAGCTATTTTCTATACACCTCCCTGTTCATCTCTCTTCCTCCCTCTCTCATACACAGTTTCCTTCCATTCCCGCTATAGTTCTGTGCTTTTATGCTTCACATCTCCTTCTTTGCCAAATCCTTTAGAATGACTCAGTATTTATAGAAATTAGTGCTTATTAAAGCATGTCCAATGGAGTACTAAGCTTATTTGGTGTTAATAAGAATCTCCCATATGTACACACTTAAATGTGTATACACACAACACACACACAATACACACCACACTTCTGACACATACACACACACACACACACACACACACACACACACACATATATATGTATATATATATATATATATATATATATATATATATATATATATATATATTAAAGGGAATTTCTTTCCTATAGGAGTTATCAGAACGGTACATTGAAGGGTTTGCCAATGTCTAGGAAACAAATATAATAGCTAGTGTTTCCCCTGCCCTTAGACTCTTTAAAAGATTAGTTTGTTCCCTGTGTTAAATACTGCCAATGGAGAAGGTCTTTTTCCCAGATCTCCTCCAGCACACCCTACCTACTGCAATCAAAATAATCTTCCTAACTGCTGTGCAGCCATTTGTGTCTAGGTATTTTGCTGGGCTACTAGGTCTTAGAGGACTAGGGCTAGACAACCTCGCATTGCATTTTTGTCTCTGGCCTTTATTTAACATGTTCTGCCTTGATTTCCTCATGACTGAGATGGACAGAGCATTAAATTGCCACCATTTGTATGATGCTTGAAGATAGTGCCTACCATTTAGTAAGTAATGTAAAACAAAACGAAAGTTTGCTTTTTTTTTTTTTGGTGGGGGAGGATTATGTGAAAGCTGAAAGTTCTAGGGTAGAGGCAGATAGTACATAAAATAGATAAATAAATAAACGAGATAGCTGTGCAGGCATCTACGTGAGAAGTTACCTGGAATTTGGAGCTGAAGCTTTCTTAGTCGGTGTGAGACACCAGCGAGAGGAGATATGGGGAGCGTAGAGACCACAGCAGTCTGGGACGTGCTAAAGCTTGTTCTGAGTGGTCTTTGTGGTGCTACAGAAGCCCCTCCTCATTCTTTGAGACATAAGTCAAAAGCAGAAGTGAGCCTAGGCTGTACTGGTGTCCTTTAGGAAACTTTTCCTGAAGGCTGTCACCTTCCGTAAGAAGGCTGGTGTGCAGAAGCTGGCAAGGTGGTCTGTACACTGCATCAGAAATCTGCAGGTGTTTCCTCCTTCTGGCCCCGTTCTTGAATCCCCAAAGGGAGTGAAAGTTGGAAACACTTTTACCCACTGCTCGTAGGAAAGTGGCTTAGCCTATTCTATTTAAACCTCCAAGGACAGTGTGACCCCAGCTAAATTTAGGCCACTCACCTATTACACAACCTCTATGGCCACTTCAGGAGGCAGAGGTACAGATAAGGAAACTGAGGTTGCTGGCAGTCTTTATCACTAGCAAGAGCGAGAACCAACACTCAAGTGGAGGCACCCCTTCAGACTTCTGCTGTGGTTTGCTGTGGTTCATTCACATATATCAACATGCAGCCATCACTGGCTCTAAACTCATGACAAGTTGCTCAACCCAGCATTAAAATCTTCAATCCAGAAGCTGCAAACTTTCCCAAGTATAATATTGGATTTTTAAAATTAGTCTCCCTGTAACCTTATTCCCTGATTTTGTATGGACTAGAGTTTAGATCTCAGGATCAGCCTCAGAGTTTGGGTTTGGCAAAGAGTGTCTAAGTCACCTTGACCGGAAAGGGAGTCTTGCTTCAGGGAGACTTTCTACACCCTCCCCCCCTCCGTCCCTCCCTCCCTCCATCCCTCCGTCCTTCCCTCCCTCCGTCCCTCCCTCCCTCCTTCTGTCTCTGTCTCTCTTTCTTCTGCCCGATTCGATTCCTTCCCCTTGAGATTTGTCCATCTGCCAGGGCACCTGCCCCACACCATTCGCTGTGCCTCTTTGACTGCCCTCTGCCTTCCTGCTGAGATTTCCACCTAGGGCTTGCCAATACATTCCCCTCATACTCCGTTCCGCTTGGCTGCCTGAATTTACACTGCCTTTTGATGAGTCTTTGCTCAAGTTCCAGTCACACTCTAATTGATTGGTCTAGATTTTAAGTTCTGGCCGTCCTCATCTGCTCCCATAACTGAGAGAAATGAGGCTGTGTGTGAAAGCTTCATGTGCTGTGGACTGGGTAAGTTTGTCTGGGAGAGTTGGAGGCTAATAGCATGAAGGTTGTGGATCAGAAGGAAAGGGGGAGCTGAACATATGATGTCATCGATCTATAGGTAAGTTCATGACAGCAAGGGGAAGGAGAAATGGGGAGAGAATCAATTTAGGTAGCACAAGTCTCCTGTTGGATTCTTAGTTTCACATGTGATTTAAGGAATGGCCATTGGGACTTACTTAATGAAATGACACTGTGGTCAGCTCTCCAGCCCTGGCTGGCCACTGCTGGTTCCTAAGCTTCCTTCCTGGAAACGGGGACCACTTTATCCCACACAGCAGACTTGGATAGATTTCACAGAGGTAACAGAGACTCATAAATCATCAGCAGAAAACTCTTTCTCTCTTTCTCTCTTACACACACACACACACACCACCACCAACAACAACAACAACAACAACAACAAAACCCTAAACATATTTTAATTCTTGCAATCCTGTTACGTTCCAAATCTGTTCTACTGCTAGTCACAGTGACTTACTTTGATCATAAAGTTAAGAGATGTACTCTAATGATGGAAACACCTATAAGTCATTGAAATTAATTGTGGGGGTTCACTATGGAATTCCTCTGCTGCTGGTACACATCACCACTTTCTCCTTTCCCCCTGAGATTAGTGGTCAGTTTATATTGCTTTCTGAGAAAGAAAATCAGCCCTAAAAAGATACAACATAATGGAAAACATCTGTGTCATTTAAGTAAATATAGCATCACCACTAAAAAGAGAATAAAGATATTAGTTTTTTCTCATCCTTCAATCATGTGTGCATCCATACTATGAAATATGAAATAGAAATTCACTGCAGCTCTAGATAAGAATATATGGTTTTGGCTATCAAACACACATAAGTACACCTTTATGCACACATGTGCACACAGACACACATAGATACACATATAATAAGAGAAAAATTTAAATCCCAATGACACTATTTTTGTAAAGGCTGAATTCTAATAACAAAATCACAGCAGACACTCCATATAATAGTTATCTCATACATGTTAGAATGAGCATATTTGTGTTTGAGGTAATTAAATAGATATCATTTTAAAAATCAAACATTTCAATATTATAAATGAATAAACATTTTATGAAGTGTCCAGTGGGAATAGGAACTGAAGGAGCAAAAGGCGAGGGCATGTCACAGATGGTTTAGTCTTTCTCTGATTGTACTGTGGACATAACCCAAAGCTGTCATCCTGATACAGTGGAGTGCTTGTGATAGCTCTGTTAAGGACAAAGGGTTTGGTGTCCTTGGAATAGTTAAATGCACTTGTATTTTTTCTTTTCTTTTTACATTCATTTTATTTTAAATAACTGAATTTAGGTTTTTCATAAAGGAAAGGCATTTTTAGAATTTCTAAGTTTTGCACCTGAAGAGAAAGTATGCCAACAAAGCTGTGACTTGAGAGTTGGAGTTTCTCTAGAACTTTGACTCTTTATGGTCTAAGTTTCTAATGATGATACCTACTGAGTACAACTGGGTTGTTGGTTCCAATCCCTGCTGGTTAATGAGTGCAAAATCTCTGAAGTTGGGACAAGAGTTGCCCCAGGTGCAGAGACTCTATTCTGATTGGTTTAATATCCATTGTGGTAAAGCCATACTTATTGCTAGCAACTAATTCATTCATGCCTATGTCACAGTGTCATAGGAAATGAGGCAAGAGTGACAACTTCCCATGCTACCTCTGAGGAAGTTTCTTTAATCCCTAGAGAGAGCCACAGGGAGGAAGCAGTTTCCTTTTCCTCCAGAGACAGTGACTGAATATGAAGTATGGATTCACATAGTGGCTTTGTGACTGTGAGAGGATATGGGATGGCTGAGGGCACTGAGATGATGCCTGTGTGTCAGAAGTCATAGGAGAGAAAAGACCTGGCCCCATGGCTGCTACCGAGTAAAAGAGCTATTTGCCAACTCCTTGTCCGGTAAAACGCTCTCCTTACTTAGTGTAGTGGCATTTTGCGTAGAATTTCTAGTTTCCAAGTTGTAGAAATGTTCAAATTTAGTTAAGAAAAATATAGGCTATTAGTTAAATAATGATTTCAGGTAAATACTGAAAGCTACATATAGTGGTATTAGTTCTGTGGAGCATGGGGACATTTTTTGTTTATTTGAAGTTTAAATCTGACCAGATATTTTGCCTTTTAAAAGTTTTCTTTTTCTTTTTGGGATAGGGTTTCACTGTGTGGTCCTGGCTGTCCTGAATTTCATTAAGTAGACCAGGCTGGCCTGGAACTCACAGGGATTCGCCTCCTTCTGCCTCCTGAATGCTAGGATTAAAGGCATGAGTTACCATGCTCAGCAAATACCTTGCATTTTATCTGGGTATTTTTAAACTTATAGTATCGTGAACATTACTTGATTCAGCAAAGAAAAGGCTTTTTTTGTTGTTGTTGTTGTTTTATTGGGCATGTGCTTTCAGGAAAAGAAGGTAAGGTTATATTCCATAGCTTGAGCATGTGTACTTGACCTAAAGCTAGTAGAAAATGACCAGTCTGTCTTCCTTCTTGGAGCCTGCCAATGTACCCCCACCCAGATTTGAGATGCTGTAATATAGGTTAACAGTGGAAATAGGAAGACAAACCTTATTTAGAAACTAAAATCTTAGATACCCCTTTACTAGCTACATGCATAGTCCTGAAGAACTCAGCTGAGTCTCAGTATCCCATCATGGTTCTGAGAAGTTCATGTGCCATTGTGGGAAGCAACCATTATGGTATGCGCATAAAACTTGTTAAAGAAAACTGTTAGCCTCTTTTGCTTGATGACTGTGAAGAGTTCAACTGCCTTTTATTCTCAGAAGCCAGCAAAACTCCTTCATTCATGCAACCAAACACCTGTGCTGTTCCTTCCTCTCCACACTGAGCAGCATGGGTAGACAAGCTGTGCACCAGGCAAGTGCCTGGTGCAGAGAAGAGCCTGTGCCTGTCTCACTGCGTGGCTGAGTTTTGCTTTTCACTCTGGGACTGATAGAAGAGTGCTCGTAAGTGCAGATCTTACTCATATTATTACCATTAAATAAACAGAAAGGAACTGTTGTGCCTTTTCTCAGCAGGCAGGGACTTAACATTTTTAACATCTTCAGCAGGAGGGAGGTACAGTAAGTGCCGTACACTCAAATAATACTTAATGAAGCACACACTGCCTTCGAATGGGTTCCTGCCTTCTGGGCAATGAGTAGAATATGCATTCCTAATATGCTGCTCCTTACTCCAATGGCAATGGTGCCCATGTAGTGAATGTGGTTTGAGAAAACTACAGAGCCTACAGAATGACAGCTGTGATACCCACCCCAGGAGAGGGAGGGGAAACTGACTACCCTCATGTAGCCCAAGAGCTCTCTGGTAGGAGACCTTGCTCAGGCTGTGGCTGCAAAAAGGTAAAATGAGGGTAGAGAAATTGCAAGCGGTATGGTCCGACTGAAACCATCACAACTGCCCTGTCCTGCAATGTTTTAAATGTGATGACGGCTCTTATATTGAAGGTGATTAAGCTCCTGAAGACCATTTGTCAGGAATGTTAGAGAAATAACTACAGTTGTTTTCCTCTTTCTTATAACGTGGGGGATACTCTTAGCTCATCAACTGGCAGGTGAGGAATTTCATCCTGCTCCATCTGAAGAGGCTCCTTGGCTCATTTGAGGCTTCCACGAAACCTTAGTAGATTTTTAAACTTTAGTGCACACTAAAGTTGCCTTGGGAATTTTGAAATAAATTACATGCTAAGGCTACACCTTTGGAGACTCTGACCTCAGTGTGCTGGAGTTCAAAGAGATCCTAACACAGTGACTTT